GACAAAGGATTGTACCTGGAAATGTTTATACATTTCGAATGAACTATCCTTACACGCCCACAACTAATAAGAATATCCTTTCTAGGTATTTTTTACTTGTCTCCCTCTCTACTGCCCTTGCTTAATTCAGTAATATCTTCATGGATAGTTCAGGAGAAAGCGAAAATCAGTCAAAACTACATCCTTCAGATTCACAACATCCAGACTTCCAAGTCTTATTACATTACTGGCTTAGAAATAGCCAATACGATTCACTACACAAGAATATATCAACAATTGTATCATATTACGACAAATTATTATGATAACTATATTCATATTATATCTATTGTCTCGCATCTACCTCACGAGTTCCACGGGATCCTTTAAAAAAATTCGCGTTCTCCGAACTCTGACTATCAGGAAGAAACAGGAGAACTTCCTCCGTGCAAATCGATCATCATCGCTGGTCCAGTGCGAGTCGTGTATCTGAAAACACTCTCATAGTTACGCCCTCACAAGAAGATATAAAAAAGAAAGCGATCAATCAGTCAATCAATCGATAGACTGAGTTAGTCAGTCAATCTATCGATGTGAGTAATAAGCATTAAATTTGTATTACTTACCATACACTCTCAATTATGTTTCACTAACACTCTACCATATCCCAAAATGCTATTTGAATGATAATGTATAATTGGCGTTATTTCGAAAAAACAAGCGATTCTGAATTCAGCAGTTAAGGATCGAAATAACTACGACAGAAGTTGTGCCATAATTCTCGAAATGTTTTCAATCGATTTAGCAGACTAAATTTCATAAGAAGCATATCTTTTTTGATACTGTTTCGAGGTTTTGAAGATTCTATCGTTTTGATTTGTGTCGATTTTCACGTACGCTGCTATCCATCAAAACGTAAAAAGTTTAAATCTCATCCGATTCTCACATAATAGATATTTATCGATGCAGTTGAGTAACAAAAGTAACAAGAATATAATGTTCTTTTCGAGAATATCCTTTGAATTGCAACGTATAATTGACGTCATTTCTATGTGTACATATAGAAGCTACGAGTAAAAATGCTATTTTTGAAACCTTAAAATCATAGCGTGCATCTCGCAATGATCCCTACTAGATACGATGTCGGTACACATCTGTTTTACGATAAATTCATAGAAAATAATAAAAAAAATTGACATATATCAGAATTAGTATTTAAATCTGCAATAAAAAATAAGAATTTGTTAAGAAAATATTCAACAATAATTAGTGAACACTTATATATTATATTATTTTAATACTAATTAAAACATGAGTTCATTTCCACACTACTTATGAAGTAAAACTTCCAGTGCTCTTTTTAAATGGTTTCTCCTGTAGGACTAGACCACTTTATATTACTTCGACTATTACTATTACTAATAATAATAATAATAATATAATGTAATATAATATAATACAATAATAATAATAAAAATCTACTTAAATATTATTTATAAACATCTAGATATTATTTAAAATACATTTTATATTATAATAGCAAAAACAATTAGCATCGATTGATCGTGAGTAAGAAACAGTATGGAAAAAATGCATTACGATCATAAGATAGCAAGACAAAGAGAAACAATAGCGGACGAAAACAAAAGAAATATTTCGTACTTTTCTTTATATGTCGTTTGTATTGGATGGGCAATCATGTGTCAAAATTATTAAGAACACGATTTGTTGAGAATTCGTGCGTCAAACCACAACGTAAAATGATACATTTTTCCTTCTTTTGTTATCATAAATTACCGTCATCGTATGTGTCATGATGTATGCAATGTAACTATATATTTCTGTTTCTTTTTCCTATTACTGTTTTTATTACTATGTTATTACATTATATATTATTATTATAGTAATAGTAATAATAATAATATGAAATGAACTCCAAAAGAGGAAACCATAACAAAATAGCACTGGGAGAAAAATCTTATAGATAATGCGAAACGAATTCGTGTTTTGATCTTTATTAAAAATAATATATAATATATATGTTCACTAATTATTAATTTTGAAAAAGTAATCGACAAATGTATATATTTTATATGTATTTGTCATCGAACAAAATTATACTGCTGCTGTGTCCTATCTAGCACAGAGATCACCACGAAATTCACGTCAATCATCACTGGAGGAAATAAATATAAGAGATTGGATAGTAACATTTTATTAAATTATCAAATAAGGAAAAAAGAGTAAATTAGTTCATTATTTTCGTTTACATCGATATAATAAAAAGAAACCACCGGAATCATTTAAGTCTTAAAACTACATACGATTCCTGAATTGCGAACCAAGACGCTTGCTAATGTGTTATATATTGCTTATGGGATCCCTATCTTTTTAATCTATAAAATCTAAAAGGAACTACAAATTTTTCCAAAATATAACTATTAGAAACTTTTAGAAGCTTAAATCCTTTGTCATAAACGATTGGACATGTATTTCCTTATTTTTGCCATAGAATAATTTTGCCAAAACTCATTAAAATGATCGAGTGAGTTACTGTGGCTTTTCTCTGCGAGCATCGTAAAACGCTTTTCTTTGCGTTTGGAAATGTTCAAAAAATCTGAGTACCAGCTATTTACAAACACAACAAAGCAGGTAATAGTTTCTTCACGGACATAAAACATATATCATTCAAGCGTGTATATGAAAATCAGTAGTAGGGGTACGAACTTCATCTCTTTTACCACAAATTTCGAGGGACGCCACAATTTTTCTTCGCGAAAAATGTCGAAAAGGGCATTGACGCTATCAATGAGAACAGAAGTAATTCTCGACCAATTTTAATGAACAAGATCTCATTTTAAAGACAAAGTTTTAATCTACAGCGCTCTTTCAGCAGACTTTTGAAAAAGTTTTTTTTTGTATGCAAGTTATTCTTGTAAAATACCATTTTTTAACACGATTTTTTTCAATGAAAATAATGTTTTTTCATAATTTAAGAAAAAGAGCCCCGTAGATTAAGCTTTCTTCTTTAAAATGAGTTCTTGTTCGTCAAAATTAGTCAAGAATTACATCCATCCTCATTGATAGCGTAAACACACAACAATGTTGTGAATAGCCTTTTTAATTTCTGTAAAAAAGAAAATATATTTTAACGATTACAAAGGATTTCTTATGCCTCCAATATAATAAATAGTGTAACAAACAATTATCATCAAAATTACTTGAGGTATCTAAGTCTTTTGTAACGTTTCATATTAAAATCTAAATGAGTGTATCCATTACATTGTCTAAACTGTTAATTTGAAATTTATACCAAAAATCATGTTAGATGCTATAAAATTTCACGAATAACTTTGATTCATTTTTACTTTCTATTTAAAAACGATGGAAATTCTAAAAAATTTTTAAACTATTAAAAGATCGCATAGGCGAAAATAAATTAAAATAAATAAAAATTGTGTAGAATTATTTAAAATAGTAAAAATAATCAAAGCGATTTACATTTCATGTTCCACGTGAAAATATTGTTCAAATATATATTCTCGACGTGTATAAATATGTATCTTCTTTATGTTTGATAATTTAAAAATCTTACAAATATACAAATAATGATATATGAAAGGATTTTTATATACTCGTGATACAAATATCGATACGATCAAAGATTGGTTATCCCATTTATATCTTTTAGTCAATGATAGAATACGCAATATCATTTATTTACACTCGATTTATTCCAGAGTATGATATCTCTGTTAATGTAAGTATCAAGCGTTTCTTCTGTATATACTTTCTCTCTCTCTCTCTCTCTCTCTCTCTCTCTCTCTCTCTCTCTCTCTCTCTCTCTCTCTATATTTTCTCTCACTTTCTCTATTCTTTGTTTCTTTACATGAAATTATTAAATTAGCAAATTAATAGTCAAAATCTCTCAATAAACACAAAATCCTCTCCCTCTCTATCTCTCTCTTTCTCATCTTTCCTTTACATAGTATTATTCAATGAGAAAATTAATAGTTGAAATTTCTAAAAATAAATAAAATTAAAAAACAAATTATTTCTCTCTCTCTCTCTCTCTCTCTCTCTCTCTCTCTCTCTCTCTCTCTCTATTTCCTCTCTCCTTCTTTCTTTTCATCTTTTTTTTACACAAAATTTTTCAATGAAAAAAATTAACAATTAAAATCTCTAAAAATAAATAGTATATAAAAACACAAATTATTTCCCTTTTCCCATTCTCTCTCTCGCTCTCTCTCTCTCTTAATTTCTTTACACAATATGATTCGATGTGAAAATGATTTAGAATTGACATTTCTAAAATTCAATAATATCAAAAAACAAATTATATCTGCCTATCTATTTAGTTCTCTCTCCCTCTCTCTCTCTCTCTCTCTCTCTCTCTCTCTCTCTTTCTCTCTCACTCTCATTTTCTCTCTCTCTTTATTCATCTCTCAAAAATATCCTACATATATAATAAGACTATATTGCTAATTGGGTTAAAGAAAAAAGAAACGGTGCAAGAAATATTTATAGCATTTAATAAATTTTTTATAACTATAAATTTTTTATATTAATAGAAATATATATTTAACTTCAGCCTTTCAAAAAATATGGCAGTATAGATTAATGATAATTCACATATCACGTATTTATATTGGGTTGAGGAAAATTTTTTTGTATTTTTCCGGCTAACATTATAATCGTATAACTCTATTAATATTAATCAAATCTGGTAATTGTATGCGTTTGAAAAGTGATATCACTGAATATTTTAGAAAGATTATGATTATATTCGTTTATTTATTTAAAAGTTATTACGCTTTAAAAATGAATTAAAATAAAGAAAAAATTCGAAACATTTTGAAATGTTATTACAAAAATGGGAAGAATGCGACTCAGATGACTAAAAAAATTTGTAATGTTCATGAAATTGATGCAGTACTAGTGTAGCAAGAAGCCGGTTCAAGTGTTTTTAATCTGGAAATTTTTATATAAATGATGCACTTCGCTCTGGTTTGAGCAATGACTGAAAAATTTAATGAAATCATGGAAAAAATTAAATAAGACTGACATATTAGCAATCATGACGTCGCTAAAGAACTAAATATTGATTATAAAACAGTTTTAAACCATTTCAAAAAGGCTGAATACAAAAAAAAACTCGATATTTGTGTGCCACATGATTTAACAATGAAAAATTTAATAGATCGAATTTCTATCAGCGAATCGTTGCTAAAATAGAACAAGATTGAACCATTTTTGAAACGACTCATTACGGGTAATGAAAAATAGATCACATATAACAATAATGAACGGAAAGTCGAACATGATCGAAGGAAGGTAAAGCTCCACAGACAGTGGCAAAGCCAGGATTTACATTAAAAATAATGATGCTATGGTGAGATTGCAAAGCAATTGTTCACTATAAGCTGCTGCTGCTTGGTCAAATGATTGATTCTAATCCCTACTATCAATAACTGGAAAGATTATGCCAAACAATTGATGATTACATGACCAAAAGACTATTGAGATAAAACGACCAGAATTGATTAATAAGAAAGATGTCATCTTCCATTACGATAGCGCTAAACTTGACACATCATTGGTAACCCATCAAAACTTGAAAGAACTTGGCTAGGAAGTTTTAATACACCCACCGTATATTCCTGACCTGGCACCATCAGACTACCATTTGTTCGAGTCTCTGCAGAATTCCTTTAACGGTGTAAAACTGATTTCTAAAAAAATCTGTAAAAATCACTTGTGAGAGTTTATTGTCCAAAAAACACAGAAGTTCTACTATAATGGGATTATGATTTTACATCAAAAAAGGCAAATGATGATTGATCAAAACGGCATATATTTGGTGTAACAAACTTCGTTTGAAATATAAAAGACTTGATTTACCTTTACATTAAAATACAAAGAAACTTTTTCTCCAAACTTTAATATTTGTTCTATCTACTTTTCCACAATGTATATAAATAGATGTAATACTTTTGGAAGAAATAAATCTGTAATTAAACCTGGAATAGTTCCTTCAATGTTTATCGTAAATCTTGTCATACAATATAAGAAGTTGATGATTTATCAAAAGAAACATTCACAAATATGACTATAAATGACAATTTTGTCATATATATTTTATTGGATATTGAAAGTAAAGTTGAAGCTAAATTTAAAAGTATTTAATATTCTGAATGTTTTTGTTAAAAATAGTAACAACAATTTGTTCATTGATTATTACTATTTAAATTTGTTTTCATTTTTATATTCCTTTTCTGTATATCAACATTATTGAAATTCCTTATTTAAAACGTAATAAACGTTTTATGTACATTTTAAAAGAAAAATAATACTCCATATTTATTTATACTTTATTATAAAAGTATCTCCACTCTTTTATCATTCTTTTATTCTTAAAATGAGATTGTAAGTCTTATAAAGATTTAATATGTTTTAACTTGCCCTATTTATTCTTGTAAACTTTTAATTTACTCCAATATTTGCAGGTCAGACGCTTTTATCAACTCGATGACTCTTAATCCTTCTTGGTGTTGCAACATCTGCAGTTGTGATTTACAAAATATAATGTGCTTTAAAGAATATCCATCGCCTTTTGGAAGTATTGTAGCTATTATAATTTGGAGCTGAAATAATAAAAGTAATGTTTAGTTAAAACAACTAAAGAAAAAAAATTATAGTTATTACACTATTAACACGTCTCGTGCCGTGTAGGGCGTATGCGGCCCACACTGAAATTTCCGTTCAAGCCATTTGGAATTCTCATTGTAAAAAGAATAAAATCATGTGTTTATTAAAATAATTCCTTGAAAATGAAATGTATTGCTTTGTTGTCTTATGCATCTTAATCTCTACACCCTTTTCTCGATAATTATCATCTTTGTATTATTGTACAGATTGTAAGGCATACGTTAGAAGCAAAACTATTTAATCGTAAAGCGTGAAGCGTATACGCCTTCACATGGTTTGAACGGAAAGTGTCCAAAATTCAAATTGGCACGTAACGCGTTAATTTCAATTCTCAAATAAGTCTAATTGATTAATTTGCTTTATGGAATTTATTTGTATTATTGATGTCATCACCTTTGGAAATAAACAGTTTACATTTTATAGGAATAGAGTTTACAATTTCCATCAGAAACTAGAATGAAAGAAAATTAATATAAATAAACTAAGGAACAAATTATCTATTTCTAACAAAAGTTAGTTACTATTTCTAACAAAAACATTTTCAATGTTAAAAACTTTTAAATTTACCTTCGACTTTAATTTCAATATCTGACAAAATATCTAATGAAATTGTCATTTATAACTATGGTTTGTGAGTGTTTCTGATAGATCAATTTCTTTTTAAATGACAAGAGAATTATATTATAAACAATGTATGGATTGCTCCAGGTTTAATTACAGATTTATTTCTTCCGAATATATTACATCTTCTATTGATATCCGTTTTAGCAAAATGGATAAAACAGATATAAATATATGATACATCATCGTTTAAACTTAATTCGCAAACATTTAATTATTTTTGGTATACGTTCAAATCCTTTGTAATATTGAAATTGATTATACATTACTATCATTTATTATAAGAAATTTATTAAATATTAAAAATATTTCTTATATATTTACTTATGTAATGAAATGCTCCCTAATTTTTATGCATTTCGATTACACAGATAGCACAATTTCTGTCAATCTTCATAAAAAAAGGAAATCTATAATATATTTTAATAATAGAATAAAAAAATTGTCCTAAATTTTTAAAAATATATTATATTAAAAAATTTTTTAATTTTCTCTCCCTCTCTATTTTTCTCTCTCATTCTCATTTTCTCTCTCTTTGTCTCTCTCTCCCCCTTCTTTTCTCTCTTGACTTGGATATTAGTATTAAATAATCCCTTGAAATCACATGATCTTGCTTTACCTTACTCATTAAAAGCAAAACTCACGATGTGAGAATTGTGTTTGTTCATTCCTTCCTTCCTCTCGACCTTTTTCGGATCTTTCTAACATCTTTATTTTCTGTTACTACATACGGTTGGCTCCGATCATTACTTCGACATTTACTGGATCGTTTTGTTTCTTGTTTTACGTGTGATCTATGATTTAAGATCGTTTGATGTTTAATTAAACAATAAGTAGAAAAAGAAAATGGAAGGAGAAAAAAGTAACTACGATTTTAAAACTCATATTACCACTCATATTACATAACTCGTATGTACACACACACACACACACACATATATATATATATATATATTGAAAATTACAATAATATATCTGGATTTTTTCCTTATTTCATTATTGCGATGAAAAATTAATTTATTAGTTTGTAAAAAAAATTAATGTAACAAAAAATTGAGTTATGTATAGTTGGTCGAAGTCTTTTTTTACTTCTATTCTATGGATATATTTTTTTAATTTTACAGCAATATCACGATTGCACTGTTTTAAGAGTGATTGATTAATGTTGAGAATTGCTTCTTTTTCTCTCTCTCTCTCTCTCTCTTTTTTCCTTTTATTTTTTTCCTTTTACGATAACGTCTCGTTATCCATAACGTCTCGTTGAAAGTTATACGCTTTTAAGTTTGTACTTGTGGAGACTTGTTTCATTACTTTATCACAAAATTAATTATAAGTTCATATCTGAATATTAATGTTTGCTATCAAATTAGGTTGTAAAAGTTTAAGGTTGTTTTTTTATATTAATATTACGAGTTTTCCAGACTTTCTTAGATTTATTGCAATATTAGATTTATATAATAATAGTTGTTATCATGGTAAAGCAAGATTATTTCTTGGAATACTATGATTGGATTTCAATTTGGACGTTAAAATTGCAACTCATGATGTATATATAATAACACCATACATTCTTTTCCTCCCAACTCTTTTCGAATTTTTCTGAAATTGTCATTTTTTGGTAACAGCTATTATTGGCTATGATTTATGTGGACATATGATAAATCTACGATCTACTTTGACATATGATAAATTCTATTATCTTTTCCAAATGAATTGATTAATCTGTTAGATCGTTGAAAACTCGTTACTTGTTTATTTTTTTATTACAACGTCGCGTTGAAAGTTATACGTTCAAGTGTTTTTGCAAGTCTAACTTTATTATTTTTTCTTGTTCTTGTAAAACAAAAAAAAGAGAAAGAAAAAGGAAAAAAATTAAATCTTTATTTAAATCGGAAAATTAATGTTTCTGAAGAAATTGGGTTATGGAGGGTTAAAGTCATTTTTTATAAGGACGTCACGAGTTTCCAGAGCTTTTAGCTTGTTTATTATTTATTTTTTTGATATGTGTGGTAGATTTAATAATTTATATCATGGTAGAAAGAATGAGGAAGAAGAGAACTGTTTATTTGAGATTAAGTGTGGTAAGAGAAAAATAGAAAAACGTGCTAAACTTCGTGACGTTGATGTTCATACGCTCATTGGAAGTATGCGATTATTAATGAGTTTCTTTTGTTTGATTTGTTTTAAGCTTAATCAAGAAAAGAATGAAATGAATAAAATATAATTGATATTCTGTTAAGAAATTGAAATGACTGAAAAACTCTTCAATCCTTTTTCTTTTTTTTTATTTGTAATATATTGTTATGTTAAGAAATGCGAAAGATTAGTTATTAATTATTAAATTTAGAAAAGAAAAGATGACGAGACGCTATGAAGGATCTAAAAAGGAACAGTTAAAATGTAATATTAATTTTTTTTTAACAAAAAATATAAAGTCATTTTAAAAGGAACAACATTTTAACCACATAAATTTCAATAACTTTCTATAAGAGATTCAATAGATTTCTCAGTTGCGATTGGCATATATTTTCTATTTTAAAATATAAACTATTTTAGTAGAAAGCAAATATTTGTAATATAATATTTTGATAATGTTAACTTAAATAACATTGAACGACAAAAGCGAGAACAAATTTTTCTAGGTTGAAAATAAATTGATGTATGTGTATGCACGCGTGCACGTTTGGGTCTTTGTTTACAAGAACTTATTCTAAATGAAAACCTTTAAAATGTTTGAAATCGAAGTGTCAAAACAATGTCACGATTTTCACAAGTTCTTCAAAGGTAGTATATGCACATATCTAATTATTTTAATTTTTCTATCTCTGAATTCGCTGCGACAAAGCTCCCAGAAGTTTCGCGCGTCTGCAATCTAATTGGAATAATCTCGTTAAGAATTTCCCGCGTTTTTAAGACTCGCTCGAAAACTCTTCTTTATATTAACGAGCAAGAATTAATGCCGTCATTTTTAGTCGTGTTTCTTGACGAAAGTAGCGGCATCTTCTGCATACTTCATTTTCTTTTTCGTTGAATAAAGTCGTTATTTCCAAACCTCCTACCGTCTCCGTTCTCGTTACCACTATCCACTATCCCCCTCCTTAGCATTATCATAACTCATTTACATAACTCTCGACCGTTAAAAATCTTTTTCATGGTCATTATTTGGAACACTTACGAGATCGTCAACGATTTTTTTTTAAATTGTTTAAAATACTTTTATTATCCAATTATCGAATCTTAGAAAAAGGCGAATCGAATTATGCGAGAATTTTGTTGATCTTGAGATAATGTTTGAAAAAAAATATTTCGATACAATATGTTTATTTTAAATCGTGTTCCGAACGATTCCCATAACTTCAATAGATTTTTGATATTCTTTATGAAATGACACGATACACTAGAAATGATTTTTTCGGTCACATTATACATATCCGAAAATGTATATAGAAATTTGTACTGTTGATTTATTTTATTTTTTTAATTTTTTATAAGATCTAATACCGTGGCAATAACAATATATTGATTTATTCGTTAAAAAAAATCAATAAATAAATAATTAATAATGACTTTGAAATTTGAAGAAAAGAAATTACATGCTAATGATGCGCTAATACGTATATTTGTAATGATGTATTAATTTGAAAGAAAACAAAAATGTATTAATTAAAACATTGTTCCTTATAGATCGAACGATTTCCTTTTGCTCGACATTTTTATGGATCTTTAAAAAAAGAAAAAGAATTAATAATAACAATAAAAAAAGGAAAAAAACGGCGAAGATATTTTCGAAATATTAGTTAACTAAGTCTTGATATGTACTCGAGATGGTAGAGTTAAATTCGATACCTTCTATAGACAAAGACGCAGTGACAGATACACAGAGGTGTATGTTATAAAGCTAGCATATATAGTTACTTTAAAGTGGATCACGAACGCATAAATGTTTTTTCCGATTTTTGTCTGTGCTTTTTTCCATATTTATCTCTAGTATGTACCCTCCTTCTTAAGATAGACGATCAATTTGCTATGATTAATCTCCGTCTTGACCTCTTTTAAAATAGCGACGATCATTCAAGTTACCAGTTAGATTCCATATAAGTGGTACTTATGATTTGTATATAAAATATACTCACTTGGCTTTATTTCTTCTGGTGATTTTGTTCTCCTTCTTTCTCTCTCTCTCCCTCTCTGACACATACGCATACACACAGTAATTTTTTTTTGAACAAAAGAAAGGACATAAAGAGCGAAAAAATAATTCTTGAAAAAATTAGATAAATCATTAGAATACAATGTTTTCCATCTCTTTTTTCACCAGCTCCTCCTTCTCCTTTTTGAACAAGAAAAAAAATATAAAAAAAGTAAACAAATTAAAAAAGGAATAAAAAGAGAAAGAAAAGAATAAAAAAGAATTATACTTACAAAAGTAAGTATAATAATAAATAATAAAATAAAACAATAAACAATTATACTTATAAATAAGACTAAATTCTATAGACTATATTCTAAAGACTATAATTTTAAATAATGACATAATAAATAATATAATAAAGTAAAATAAAGTAAAATATGGATAGAATAAAATAACGATATCAAAACGAATCATTCTAATAATTGAATGATGAACATCAATTATGGAGAAGTACTTCTCTTTTTCATTACGTTAATAAAAGCTTGTAAGAGTATCCAAAGTGCATATATAGACCCCGATATAAACATATATATACATATATGTATACAAAAAATATACGAAC